CCCCCCCCCCCATCACTGGTCCCACTGCACATCACTCTGTCTGCACATCGCCCCCTCTTGCACATCGCTCCCGTTTGCTCATCGCTCCGCTTGTACATCGCTGCTTGCAGGTCGCTCTGGCTTGCAAACTGCTCCTCTTGCACATCACTTGCGAGGTCTTGTCTCTTCCATTTGCTTCTATTGCCCTCTGCTGGGGACTGTCAAAGGGAAGGCTGATCCCCTGGGCAGTGCTTTCTCCTTTCCGTCTCCCCCTGCAATCTCTGGGGAGCCGCAGAGCCCCGGGTTGGAGTGCCAGTGCCTCACCGCAGCAGTGAACCCTCGTCACCGCTCGTTGAGTCTCAGAGTGGCCACTGGCCCATGACACTGCATACTCGCTCGCGGACCTGGCCAGCCCCATGTATGGCCAGCACATCTGGCCCAGAGGACACACGTGACAGTGAACAGGCACCAGAGACGTCCCATGTGGGTGCGCAGACATGTGTGAGATATAAAACATCTCGGCTCTGCTATAACACCTACTTGTGCAGAGCTCGAAAGCTCTGTGCATCCAGAGCTGGGCCAGACTTTACTCACAAGCCCAAAGCAGGACGGACAGAGCTATTCTTGAGCATCACCTCCTGAAATTCTTTGCTCTCTGCAACATTTGCATTTCAGCTGGAGTCAGCAGGGGATGCATAGGGGGGTTCACACATAGAGCAGGAAAAAGGACATCCGGAAGGGCCACACTGCCAAAACCAAAGTATGTGCTGTAATCAATCACTGGTGAGGAGCTTCAGAGACTAACCAGGTTTGGGCTAAGGCAGTGGCTGAACCTACAGGGCCTTTGGTTTCAGTGAGGGAGTGGTGGGAAGTGCAGGATCCAAAGTGACAGGGCTCCAGGGGATCCAAATGGTAATGAAAGGTTGCCCTGAAGGGGCACTACTGGGTCTCATTCATTAATTACCTTGGCTGGCCGAAGAAAGGTCCATCAAGTTACTGACGCCTCAAGACTGAAGAGCATCAGCAATGTGAAGACCCACAAAACCCCGAGGATTGCTGTGGGCAGCACAAAAGCTTGGGCTGTGCACACAGCAAGCAGTAAGGAGGATTTCTGCTTGCAACCTGGGAGCATTGCTGCTGGAAAGCCTGGAAGAGAAGGGCAGACACAGGAATGTGGGCTGATCTCATCACACCCGCCTGCTGCAGCTGCGGTGCCAGCAAGCTCTCACCTTTAGGGCCTGGGAGCAATTTTGGGGGGCAAAGCTGAGCGCAAGTGTCCCACTGTGGCCATGCAGCAATCTCTCCCAGACCCGGCAGAAACCCGAAGATGTGATGCTCTGTCACAGAGATAACCGTGCCCCACGCTGGGCCGCCACCAGCCAGCTCAGAAAAGGAACAAATTGACAGTATTCAGAGGAATATTCTTCATTTCCAAGCATATCATTTCTGTCCTCTGGCAAAAAGCCCCCCCGCCCAGATTTTTAGCAGCTTTTGCATTTCATCGGGCTGAATCCAAGGTGGGAAAGAGAAGGGTAGAAACTGGAAACCATTTTCCTTCAAGAACTGGGGGGATTTCCGCAGCAGAGAGGTACTGCAGGAGTCTCTCCTGTGCAGCATGGGGAATAGCGTGGGTCTGTACCCAGAGCTGAAGGGAAGGGATGGGCCAGCAAGGATGGGTTGGGGAACAGGAGAAAGGGAAGCTACTATCCCACCAGCCCTCATAAAGTGTGTCCTGGGATGCCCGGGGGTGGCTAACTTTGAGGGGAATGATCTTTCCTCCTTCAAAGCGATGCCACCTCCCCCTGTTTCTCAGTCCCACCCGGACCTGCTTCTCCCCAGCAGCTGGATAAAAAGTTTGGAGAAGAGTGTCACAGGCAGGAAAAGAGAGAAAAATAGCAGTGGGTCTTTGCAACCAAGGGGATGGAAATGGAGGCGACTACAAAATTTCAAAGCCAGCCTGTGCCCCTCGGTCACAGCCAGCACTGGATGGGCTGAGGAGGGGAGACAGATGCCTGCCCGGCAGTCTCCGCTTCCAGAAGTCTTTGCACACTCGCCGGATTATAGATGATGGAGGAGAGGAACGCCTTATACCAATTAATTCCCGAAGTGTAATTAACGTCTGGGCCAGCTCTGTGTGATCCCCAGCTGCTAATGAAGCATGGCACTGCTTTAATTCCTGCTACGCTGCACCATCTTCTTATTAAATCCAGGAGTAAGTTCCATCACATTTCCCTTAAAGGGAAAAAGGAGAGAAATGGAGCAGGATTTGTCTCAATGAAATATGGTAGATTAGAGTTCGCTGGATAAAGAAAGTAGGAGTGGGGGGAGGGCACGAAATGTGAAATTTTGTAGGTGTGTGCGTGAGCACGGGCATCTGTATATTCTCTCTCGCAATGACCTCCTTACACCCCATCCATCAGCCTGGGGTTGGCTTATTCTAACTAGCAGAGTCTTTTCTCGTGTCTAACAGGCCCATCAGACACAATCTGCATGCCAATTACCAGAGCAGACCCCCTGATACTGAAAAATGGAAATTAGCTGTCAAGCAAAAAACGGCATCAGCAGGCTGGGTTTGGATTGCCTGCGCTCCCTGCTCGCTCTCACCGCCACTCACATCCATATGCACTCTGCTCCGCGTGCAGCCGTGACAAGGGAGCCCCCGATGGAAAAAGTAATCTAGAATAATAATAAAATAAAAAATAATAAAAACACCCCCCCACCACCCAACTAGCATATTTTATTGTTATTCGTATTGGTTGCCAACATTCAGGGCACAATGAAAAATTCACCAGAGGGCAAGAGCCAGCCAGAGGAGGAGGGGGGAAAAGAGTTTGGATAATTGCGTTTTCGCGGTGGGTAGATCAAGCGATGTAAGGGAAGGACGTGGCGAGGAAATTTTAGTGTAAGGGCAAAGCAGAACCAGGTCTGGTTCCTCTGATGCTCTGGGGCGGACATACACCAGCAGCACCCTAAACCTGCCCACTGCGGCTCCGGCACCCACTGCAGTGTGGGACAAATCCCATGTAGGATGGAGAAGCACGCTGCCCAGGCAGACATTCCTCAAAACAGGGTGGGAGATGGTTGGAAATGCACTGGCCAGGCTACCTGCAGGAGATTTTCCTTCCAAAATGGGGATGGCAACAGGCTCTCTGCAAGAAATAGTGGCTAGGCCATGCTCAAGCTGTTGTCTTACACAGGCAGGAGCTGGTGGCCTCTGAGACACTTGGAGAGCTTTTGCCGTGAGTCAGGGGGAAAAAGGGAGCTGGAGCTGGGTGCCAGCAAGGCTGGTTGGGCTGGAGAAATATTTTGGGGAAAAATGCACCAAGACCCAACCATAATGCCAAATCATCTGGATCCTGCTGACCCGTGATGGAGGAGAAAGGCAAGGTGGGTCAGGAAGATGCATCACCCTCTGCAGCAAAGGACTGAAACAGGGTAGGGGCTAAGGCTGGGGAGGATGGACTGCAGGGTCACAGCAGGAAGAGGAGGAAAAGGAGGAAGGCAACTCTCTTCAGCCCACCTTTGTGCTCAGGGGAGCCTGTGGGGCCAGAGCTGCCCCTCTCAGCAGCCCCTTCCCACTCCTCACTGGTGACTGTGTTCCCAGGGGGACACAGCACTGTGGCTTGACAAGCATCACTTAACCTGCCTCCCTGCTCAGTAATAACCTCATATATCAACCGGAAAGAGACCGCAGAGCATGGCTAGAAGGGCTCTGCTTCTACATCCAGTATCATTATCCCAAGGCCCCTCAGCCTGATATGCAAACATGCTGCGGGTCCCCGGGGTGCTGGGAGGGGAGTGCCCAGCACAGCAGACATGAGTTATTCTTGCACGGGAGGCTGTGCATGGGCATGTGGCCACAGCATGGGCTCAGCCTGACATCTAGCACCACTGGACAAAATGGGGTGCTCCAGCTGGTGGCAGACTGGGCTAACTGGGAGCCTGACAGCCTCCTCTGCTCCCAGCATGTCTCAAGTGTCCAGTGACCTCTTCCTGCCCTTCAAGATCATTCAGCAGTAATCCCCCATCCCAGGGCAGCTTTCAGAGGCACTGACCATCTCTGTCCATGTCCAGCCTCTTTTTCCCCTTCCAGCTGCCCAGCCTGACGTGGTCCTTAGCCCCTTTCTAAGCAACCAGACCTCTTGTCTCACACCTACAAAGGGCATCCTGTACCTGACACACTGAGTTTCTGGGGCCCCCATCATCCCCCGTGGAGACTGCAGCCATAACCCTCCTGCCTGCTCTGGGATCCCTGCCTCTCATCTCCACTTTCCCCCCAGTCCTGTTGCCCTGTGCATCATGAGAGGAAAATGCTCCTCCAGCAGCGGGACATCTGCTGCCTGCTCAGGCTCCCTGGGGTGTTGTGTTGAGCGTGGCATGGAGGCAAACTCACCCCTTCTCCCCAACCACCACGGAGCAGCAACACAGCAAGCAGGGACTCCTCAGGACCACGATGGACTGAGCCACCCACAGCTACCACCAAAAACTGGAGTCCAGGGACGAGTTGTCCCACTGTTCCACTGGACTGGCCACATGCTGGAGCACAAGCTCCAGCTTCAGGATGGCTTTTCCCTGGAGAGGAGCAAGTGGGATGGAGGGGAGGGGATGGGGCCAGCCTGGAGGACAGCAGAGATGGAGGCAACTGGGGCTGGTGGAGGGTGTTTTGCAAAGAGAAGGTTCAGCTCCACACCCATTTCCCTGTGGCAGGATAACTCGCACGCAGACCCTGGGAATAAACAGGACAGGCTGAGCTGAGCGACTCAGTTGCTTTTATTGACGGCTTCCAGCAGCCCAGTCAATGGGCTGCCTCACTCAGCGATGCTGCGGAAGGACTGGACAGCGGGGCTCGCCGCTCCCCACTCCACGGGTTTGCGGTACTCCCCCTTGGGCAGCAGGTACTGCCTGCCCCGGTAGTTGGGATGCTCATAGAAAACCCAGACGCCTTCCAGCACTCTGCAGGCGTGGACCTCACGCATGTGCCACTCCTCCATGACAGAAGGGCAGTCTTCAGTGGCTTCGAACATCTGACCGCCAAAATCTCCCTTCTCAAATACCTGGATGTGGCCCCGGCCTCCACTTGGCTAGAAAAGAGGAGAGAAAAATAGCAGAGCACTGGAGGGAGACACCGACACATCCCCGGCTCTGACAGTCGCCAGTGGATGGGAGCAGAGATGAAGCATGGTCAGACTCCAATCGGGTACAAACTACCCCTCAGCACACCAAGACAGGGCTGAGCAGCTCACATCAGCCCCAAGAACACAGCAGGGAGGCAGCCGGGACAACTCTTGAGCCAGCATTGCCCACAAAGAGGGTACAAAACCACCGAGCTGGAGCAGAGCCGTTTCAGCTCAAACCCCCACGGCAGCCCCAGTTTCACAGGCTGCAGGGAGGGATGAGACCACATCAGCAAGCGCCAGGCTCTCTGTCCCAGGCAGCCTGCCCGTCCCACTGCTGGCCTGAGCCCTTCAGCCACTCCACGTGAGCATCAGAAGGAGAGATGAACCCCCTCCACTCCCCGCTCCTCCAGGCAACGAGGAATTTAATGAGCTGGTGACCCCAGCTGGGTTGTATTACAGGCAAACACAGCGCGGGTATTTTCCACTGTGATTTGAAGCGCTGCGTTGCCCGAAGGCACTGCGGCAGTTTTAATCTGCAGCTGCCTGGACACCGTCTTCCTCTGCCTCCCCCACCCGCCCGAGCCCACTCTCGTTGCTAGCCCCAGCCGAGCCCTGCGGGGTCTCTACGGTATCTCCGGGGCCCTCAGACCTCCAGCTGCAAGCAGTGGGTCTCGTGCAACCTCCCCAGGTGCAGGAGGGGAAGCCCAGCACCAGGTGAACCTGCAGGACAAGGCCTCCACATTTCATCCTGATGGAGGAAGCTGTGTTGCTGTTACACCTCTCGTGTGTTTCGGTTCCATCTCTTATGTCAGATCAGCACTCTGAACTGGCTGGAAACTCTCCCTGCCGTGTGCAAAGGGATTTAGACCTAGCTCAAACCCAGAACAGGCTCAAAGTGGCTTTAGACCTCCAGACATGGAAGCAAAAGCCCTTCTCAGCTGTGACACCTGCCTCACGCAATGGGAATCCATGGCTGTGCTGTTCAAGCCAGCGATGCTCAGGTGCCCACCAGCGCCTGCCACACTGCTGGCAAAAACACAGCAGCAGCAGCATCTCAACCCCAGTACACACCCCATCCACATGTCCATACCCACCAGTTTTAAAGGGTGCTTCTCCCCACAGGCTTCCCAAAGGGATCGTTCCCTCTGTCCCTTTCTCCCTCCTAGAACTTCCACAAGGTGTAAACGCTGCTCACTATCAACCTACACTTACCCCATCTCCTGCAGGACAGGCGCTGCTGGAGGCTGCGGAAGCTTCTCCCCATCCTCAGGTAGGAGGGGATCAACACAGTGTCTATGCTGCAGTGGGGAGACATACATCCCCCTGTGCTCCCCTAAAACTAGGAGACACCAGGCTGCTCCAAGTATGCCCAAGGAAGGCTTCAGGCATCCTTCCCTCTCCTGGTCACTCCAGAGCTGCTTCTGAGGCTGCTCTCCCCATGCCCAGAGGGGCTTAGTGATACTGGGATTCAGTTCCCCATATCAGAAGGAAGCCCTGGCTTGCCAGAGAGGCAAACAAACTGCCCCTTATGAGCGCTCCTGCAAAATCTACACCCCACTGTTACAAGCCTTGTGCCCACCACCAGATTTGGATCAGTTGGCAGCACACCAGGGGGCAAGGCAAGAGGCAAACCTCAGAGCGACCTGCCCAGACACTGAAGTCCCTGAAGGAACATGCAGATGAAACTACGTTGCTGTCCCTATGGAAACTCACCTATAAAGCACTCAAAAGGATCTGCTTTTTCCCAATGCAGTCAAGAGTGGCAGAGATTTACCTTCTCCACTCACCAAACACCTTGCCATTCCCAGAGCAGGGCTTCAGGAGCAAACCCCCTATAGCCATCCCCTCCAAGGGAGCTCCTGCAGGTCTCCAGGAAGATGGGGGCCACCCACAAGCATGCTGAAACCCTTTAATGATAGGTGTGTAAATTAAAGTGTCCCTTGGGAAGAGGTCACACTCACTATCTGGATGGCTTTGCAGGAGCCGAGGCGGTCATTGAGGCCCATCCAGTGGTGGTAGTCAGGATACTCCCCGTGTGTCAGAACATACATGTTCCCAGAGAAGTTGGGCCTCTCATAGGCCACCCAGGTGCCCCCATCCACACGGATGGAGTTGCAGCGGCTCAGGTAGGTGTGAAAATCAGGGCAGTCGCCGTCGCACTCGTAGGAACGACCTAGGAAATTCTTGTCTTCATAGAAGGTGACCTGAAACACAAGCAGAGGAAGGAAAGCAGGGAGGTTCCTCATCACTCAGTGTGTGCACATGCCTGCATCCATATTCTAGCCACATCATGGCATGAAATATCTGAAAACAGAGCCCTCAAGATGTCAAAAAAAGTCACCAAGCCCAACCACTGAGCAGGATCAACTGCATCCCAACAAATCCTGGCAGCCAGTCTGGCCCCAGAGACTCCAGCTGCCACCATTTTCTTGCCCTTCCCAGCATCTAGTTCTGTCTCAATCCAATCCAAAGCTCCCTTGGTGAAGTCCCTCTCCTCTTTGCAAGAAAACTCTATTAAAACATTTCCCTCCCACCTTCTCTAGATCAGTAGTTACTAAATTATGGCCAAGGGAGCCATAAATAGTCAACGGACCGTACTAAGCAGCATTTCATTTATGTTGGCTTACCAATTGTTTGCAGTTAGACCTGTATTGATAAGGGCATGGTGAGGTCTCTTTCCTCCTGGGTCGTGTCTTCTAGCCCTGCAATCATTCTCCTTGTTCCCACTCTAACAGTCCACAGATCACTTTTGAAAAAGCCAATGCCAAAAACTGGACATCACACAAGCTTTACCAGTGCCAAGAAAAACTAAAGGAGCACTCCACTTACATGGTGGATAGCACAGTTCTTCAGACATCCGAGGATTGCATTTGCAGTTGGCTTCCTTCTGCTTTGGTTGCTGCAACTTTGTGATATGGGTGACAATTTTCCAATCCATCACCACATTTCTTTCCCAAGAGCCGCTCTACAGCCAGGCAGCTCACTGCAAAGCACTTTGCTTAGCTGTGCTTTTTCCCTACTTGATCACAACCTGTTTCAAAATCTTCTCAAGAGCTGGTGAGCAAATCCCATTCCTCTTGCCTGAGGTATCACCAACCCAGACAGCCCTGGAGAGGCAACATGTGCTTTCTTCAGAAAGCCCTTCATGGAAATATTGTCAAGCCCTAGACCTGGACCAGTTCTTTGTACAGCCCCATTTTTACATCTTTCCAGATGACTGTTATTCATCAAGAGCCGCTCTTTGCAATACGGGTTTTCAAACCATCCTGTCTATTTTGACTATATCCTTTGCTTGCTTATGATGCTGTTATGCCAGACCACACCAAAAATTACATTAGTTCGACACAAATCAGTCTCAATAGATCACTTTCAGCTGCACCCAATCACCAGCCCATCTTCCACCCTAACAGGAGTTTGATTACTTACTCCAGTGTCTTCTAGAGCCTTGCGTTGAATCAACTGATGTGCAAGTTGGTTGATCCAATGCCGTAGATACTCAAGACAACATTTCACCTTTTCCAGCCCTCCAGTATGGCATCAGCCCCATACATGCTGCCGAGTTATTTGGTAGCGTCTGAGATTGCCTCAGCCAATTCCCCCAGATGCTCTGGAGATAATTTTTCTGGCCACAGTGATTTGAACATCTAACACGCAGTACTCCGTAATCCATATTTTCCATAGTATTTCCATATCTTGAGTAATAAGATACATGATCACCTTTTGCTCCTAGCTGGTTGTGCTTCACCTATGGTGCTTTGGCTACTGGTACCAATCTCACATGACTGCTGTTAAAATACCATTCATTGTCACACTTTCAACCCAGGAGGTAAGACTCAAATCTAGGACAACCCAGTCACTGTATTTTTTTTCATTCACTTTGCGTTAAAAAAATGTTGGCCACAGTTTTCCTAGAGCTGGTTGGTCAGTATATCCCACCAACCTGACCAAGTATCTGGGGAGTCAGACTAATCGTGCCAAAGGATTTATGTCCTTGGCCTTATGGCCTGTTGGCAGACGTTTATTAAGATGTTATTTTGCTCAGATTTTCCTCTGACCTTCAAGAGACTGGTCTTCCATTACGAAGCAGTCAGAACATACAAAACAACCTCTCCCCACGTCTCTCCCTCCTGAGCAAGCTCCTCCCAGCTTCAGTGAAATGAAGAGTTGGGAGATCACTACCATCTTTCCAGCAAGCGAATAAAGGTTGTAAAAGGTGTGCACCAAAATGACCAACTTTTGGTTTCCCACACTGCTACCCAATGGGTAGTTAATTGTGTTGGTCAGCCCTTGCCAGCCACAATCCTGTTGTTGTTTTACAGATCCTGCTTCTGGATCTTTCTCCCTAGAGGCTATCACCTGAAAAATCTGCCAGCCCTAGAGGCAACAAAGAAAGCCCTGCTCACTGACGTTCGGCAGTCACTCACCACCAGAAGTCCTCTTCCTGAAGCCAGTGGTCAAGAAAGCCACAGCATCCCTGTAATACCCTTTGCAGCTCGGCCATTGCCCTCCACTGAGACAGCTGATGAGCTCCCCCTCTCTTCAACCTCACTCCCCAAACTCTGCAGCCCCTTCTGATCTGCAGTCCCACTCCTGTCCATGCAGTGAGCGTCCAGCACAGTCAGTAGCGAACTCTGCCCAATGCCTGTAAGACCACAGGTCTGGTCTCTGTGCAGGCAGCACCCCACCCAGGCAGAGGGATGCCTGCTCCTGCCTCATAGCAGGATGGCTGGCACTGGGAAAGGAGTGAGTCTCCATCACCTCTAGTCCTAGCCCCGCATGAGCTGCGTATTCAGCAGAACCAGCTTCTCTTTCTTATCACAGCAACTGTGCACAAAGTTGGTTAAGTTGGCCTTTAATTTTGTAATAGAAAATAAAAGCTCATTAGGTGTTCCTTCTCCACCCAGCCTAACACTACTGAACTGCAATTTGGCAAAGCTACCTGGTGTTCCTAGGAGGGTATTTTCCCTGTACTTATAAAGCCACAAGGCCAAAGAAATCTGAGAGCACATAAAGAGCATGGCCATGCCCACAGAACAGTGACCAACCAAAAGTGTTGTTCATTGTTTTATTCTTAGACCATTTATAGGGAGACTCAAGGAGAGGGCTCCTGCCCACCCATTCTCCACCCCAGCTCTTTGCACACACCCTCAATTCATTTCAGACCTTCACACTCAGTGCTTCGCAGCTTTCCTCCAGTGATTTGGGCACAAACAGACCAGAATGATGTTTTTCACCCACAGGATAACAACAAGTGAATTATGGATTTCCATTCTAGATTCGTTGGTTCATTTCAGTCACATCTTACTCCAACACAAATCACCTTCCTTCAGTAAAACCACTGAGTTGCTCTGCTTGCAGCACTAACCCTCGCTCACTGCCCAAGCTTTGCTTTTTTGGGGCTTACCTGGCAGATAATATTTGCCATAGCAGATCTTCCTTACAGGACTATAAAACTCTTACTCCCTTGGCCACCTCATAGCAGTTGTTATATTTCTTCCCAACAGCAGCTCTGTTAGAAGGAAACTCATACAGAATAACTGTAAACAATAACTAGTAGTGCCCACTGCCTTCTAAGTAAGCAGAATGGGGGCAGTGACCCCTCCCTAGGGCAGACCGCTTGCTTAGGTTGTGAGAAATAGTGCGTAATTCACTCCCTCGCCCTTTTCTTCTCCCTGGAACGTGCTAGACAAGAGCATGGCATAGAGAAAAGATGAGATTCCCATCTTTCACTGACTTAACTCCTCTGGACATTTTGCTGTACCACAGCAGCACATCATCAACAAATTCCCTGTAGCAAGCTCACAGGGGACACAGCTCTCAGCAAGGGTAACAGCAGCACGTATTTAAGTCTCTTTAAGCGGACAGGAGACTCGAGCATGACTCAGTTACGTTTCCCCAGCACCTTCTTTATGCACAGGTACATAAAGACTGTACCACTGCTATCTGACAGCCACCAAGTTAGAAGGAAGCAGCACCCTGTGTTCAGTTTCTAAAGACTGCTCAGAAATAGTCAAATCACTTTGAGCAAAGATCACAGAACAAAAGGTGTGGAGAAGCAGAGACTGAATCTAGATCTTCCATAGCATCGGCCAGCGCCTACCAAACCACTCTGCTTCTGAGCCCTCTGCCCTCTTGGGTCTTACAGTCTCCTCTGGTTAAAAGGAACATAACCCACAAGCAAAGCTTCTACAATGGAAAGACTTATATCTGTTCACTACCTCTTAACAGTTGCTTCAGCGGGGAAGCTGGCTGCTACCCCGAAGTTCTTGACTCCTTTCCCAGCTGTTTATCCCTGCCCACTCCCAACTCTGCACCAAGCTCTGTGCGACCAGCCAGCTGGGCTCTGCTCACTTGAAGACTGAAGAACGCAGCGTTAGAGCTGGATCTCCACCTGATGCACACCACTAGCTGAAGTTGAGCTTTCTGGTCTACCTCCATCTCGTTTAAATTCACCTCTGCCGATTCCACCAAATCCCAAGGCCAGTTCGCATCCCTTGGGGAATGCTGTTGCCTTTGGTGCTAGGGTCATCATTCACTTCTGTCGCAGCACACCCTTTGCTCCACCACGGAAGGGGGACGTGGCAGCTGCCGCTGGTGTTGGGACTCAGGTCCTCCCAAGGAAGCCTTCCACGAGACTCTGTTCTGCAAATGCAACTCGTCACATTTGCTGCTGCCACAGCAGCCTCCACCACCAATTTACAAGGCATCAGGTCCTGGTGCATCTTAAAATATCCCTTCACCAGTCACTGTGTCCGACTCCATCCTCTCGCAGAGCCACACCTAAAGTAACAGCCAAGATCTGGGAAAAGACTAGGGAGGGCTCAGCTCCAGCTTCCCTCCTCCATTTGAGCTGGAATTTGAAGCATATCCTCTTGTCGACAGAGGGGGACGGACAGAGGGGGAGGCTGTCAGCAGAACAAAGATACCAAAGTTTCTCCACAACTTACCCCTGATTAATTCTGTACTCCTAGCCAGTCATGTATAGGCTGCAAATAAACCTACCTTGGTTCCAGCTCTGGACATTTTCTGTTCCAACCAAGCTCCTCAGTGCTGGAGGAACGTCAGAAGCTGTTACAAACAGCCAGGATCTGAGGCACCCTTTTTATAATGGGCTTGTTTTAAACCAGACAGCCGCTTTGTCATGAGAATAGGATCCAAAAATTGAGTCAGTGATTCTGAGGCTATAGCCGATTTCCAGAAAAGCAAACAGGATTATGGAATAAAGGAAGGCTTTGCCATCCTCCCTTTGTTATCATTTGCTGAGTCAGAACACCAAAACTCTGCCAAACACACTCAAAACACGCAGCCCCCTGCCAAGTCCTGGAAGACGGGGGGCAATTTGGCTGCTCTCTCCCTTTCAAGCATGTTAAACAAGAAGGCATCCTTGTTAGCTCTAAAAGGCCCACCCCCATGTGTAAGGAAGAAACACAATATTTATCAGACAATGTTCCCATGCAGCAAAGGATGTAGCTAGGAAATGGTCAACATGTGCTCAGGGCAGGCACCACAGGCTTGCAAAGACCAGCCACTGCATGGAGGCTCTGCTTCAAAAGCTCACGATGGAAACATGTGCACAGCAACGGGGCTGTGTATTTTTATAGCAAACCCTCAGCTTGAGCTGTATTGCTCCAAATGGTGCCTGACATAGAGGCAAAGTATGATGTCTGGCCACACACCCCCAAAGAGAGTGATTTCACACATCGGATAGTAAAGAATGATGCCCAGATTTCTGACCATATCTCCTAGTGTCACAAATTCAACTCAAAACTCTTGCACCACTGTCTGAGGTTTGAGCAAAAGTTTTTCTTTTAGCCACACTCTGGCCCACTGAGCGGGGAGGGCGAGGATTGCTGGCTTATGTACATCCACACCCCCCGCCAGTGCATTATGAAAAAACACCTCTGTAGCTATTCACTGCACCAGCCCAAAGGCTTAGCGAAACAAAGGGAAACGAATTTGGCACAGCAGCGCCTGAAACACAGACCCTATTTCAAATCTGTCAGGACAAGCAGTCTCGCAACAGCAGCTCTGCATGCCACCATGTACACTGCCACAGCCCTGCTAAATGCAGTCTGATATGACAGCCTGAGACAAGACATGATCAGCAGCATCTCCTTCTCTTCCCATTTTAGGTTCTTGAATTGCCTAGTGGTGTTGCTTACAGCTCTTACTGATAGAACGCTGTGAGGCCAATTTTTTTTTTTTTAAGTCAAATTATGACGATCAGAGTTCAACCACAATCTAGTTCCTATCAAAAGGCGATCTGGTAGGTTCACTATCACAGAATGATCTCAGTTGGAAAAGCCCTTGAAGCTCCTCCAGTCCAACCATGACCCTCACCCTGACCGTTCCCAACTCCACCAGATCCCTCAGCGCTGGGTCAGCCCGACTCTTCAACCCCTCCAGGGATGGGAACTCCCCCCCTGCCCTGGGCAGCCCATTCCAACGCCCAACAGCCCCTTCTGCAAAGAAATACTGCCTCAGAGCCAGCCTGACCCTGCCCTGGTGCAGCTTGAGGCCATTCTCTCTGGGCCTGGTGCTGGATCCGTGGCTCCAGAGACTCATCCCCCCTCTCTGCCCCCTCCTGTCAGGGAGTTGCCGAGGGCCAGGAGGTCTCCTCTCAGCTTCCTCTTCTCCAGACTAAACCCCCCAGTTCCCTCAGCTGCTCCCCAGCAGACCTGTGCTCCAGACCCTGCCCCAGCTCTGTTGCCCTTCTCTGGACACGCTCGAGTCATTCAATGGACTTTTTGGGGTGAGGGGCCCAAAACTGAACCCACTCATTGAGGGTCAGCCTCGCCAGTGCTGATTACAGGGCTCAGATCCCTTCCCTGTCCCTGCTGGCCACGCCAGGGCTGGTAAAAGCCAGGATGCCATTGGCCTCCTTGGGCACCTGGGCACACTGCTGACTTCTGTTCAGCCGGCTGTCAATCAAACCCTCCAGGTCCCTCTCTGACTGGCAGCTTTCCAGCCTAGCTGAGATGTTCACTAGGACATCTCAAAGCTCCACTGTGATCACTTTACACATGCCTCCTTTAAAAGTCAGTTAAATATAATAAACTCACCTTGCATTGCATCACCTGCCTCCCCAGGAGCCAAGAGAGACCTTCAGGAAAATTCTAGCATCACAACAGCTGTGTGCACCAGAGCACTGAATGCCCCTGCCTTCCCCTTCAGAAGGCAGCTGCCTGCAGTCAGCCATACAAGGCTTTTGTTTTGCTTAGCTTATTCAGATGCTCAGCTACAAGCACATCTACCCAAGGCAGGTTCCACTAGCACATGAGAATGGTACTCATTCAAGTTGATACTCTTTTACAAGAAATATAAACAGTAGGAAGCAGTGTTTGTATCAAAGCGCTGTGTTGGGGAAGCCTTCAAAACCTGCAACTCCATGGCTGTTAATACATTAGCACTTTTCTCTAGCTGACTAGTTCACATGTCATCAAGTAGTAAAGATGTGTCCCCCTAACACCCACTGTACAGGTAAAACTCTTTCCTTAGGTCATGTACCAGGCTTATCCAAGACTCTGTTTTATTGACATTTGTCAAAACAATGCAAACATGTAAGAAAGTTAATTCCATGAAATTACATTGTTTAAGTGCCATATTCATATAAAAAAAATCCATTGCATTTCATTCATTTAAAAGATCAAACATTTCTTTTTCACATTTATAAAAACAGTGCAGATGGCTCGTACCATGAAGGTGCAGGTGATGGGCATGGCCCTGTGCCCAGCTCTGCACCAGGAAGGGCTCCTTTGCTGGGCACTTGCTCACCATGGACACCAACCATGATGACAGCCTCCCTGCTACAGGATCTGCAACAAGGCATACTTTATCAGCCTCTAGCAACACGCACTTTCTCAGTTACCAACAGAACAGTTACAGCACGTTCCTGGGAATGCGGTAGTGATAAAAAAAAATCCTACACCAGGCAAACTGTCCAATCCACACTAAGGCTGGGCATCAGATCCACATCAAGTATCTTGAGTCAGGATGGCCGGAGTCTTAACGAGAACTGTTTTCATGTATCGCTGTCTGTTCCCAGAACTCTGTAACAAAACAAGAGGAGCAAATTTTACTCCCAACACTAGCAAAGATAAAGCAACTCAAAAACTAAAGAAAAGGAAAAAACCCAACTTTCTAATGGTTTGAAACATGCAATGGCAGAAAAGTATGATAAGGACTTGTCTCCGGCTCCTAAACTACTTGTACTTGGGAAGAGACACAACAAAGCAAGAATTATTTGAAGTCTCACTCAATTCTCTTAAGCAAGAAGTGAGACAGGTAAGTACAGACATTAATACACACGATCTCTTTGAAAGAGCAGCTATTAAAATACATTTTTACATCAGATTATGTACAATATGCCTATCTGCCTTTACAGAGGCACACATATGTCCCCAACAAACCAAACAGAACACCTGCAGAGAACAAGACAGGTGCTGAGTACTGGGAACAGATTCAAACTGAAAACAGGTTTTTTCTGCAAAATAAGAACTAAAACCAAATGGGAGAATGTCCACTGAACAGCCTCCTACTACTTCCATCTCTGCCTAGACTGCGCACATAAACATGGGGCAATTCTTCTAGATAGAGAAGAACCAAGATAAACAGGCCCTCTACTCACCCTTCCTTTCCTTTTGCTGTACAGGAACACAATGCTATCCTGCTGCCTGCTTGGAGCCCACTGCAGGTGGAACGAGGCTATCCAGCTGCTGACGGTTCCCCGTCTGAACCAGCCATTCATAGAATTTGTTTTCTACCAGTATCTGGAACTGTTTCCTCTGATCCCTGAAACCAAAAGACGACCAGCAAGGAAGTAGGTAAAGGTCACATTTATTTATAGTATTATCACAGAATCATAATATGGTTTGGGTCAGAAGAGACCTTAAAGCTCATCTAGTCTCACCCCCCTGCCCTGGGCAGGGTCACCTTCCATTAGCCCAGGTTGCCCAAAGCCCCGTCCAACCTGTCCTTGAACCCTGCCAGGGAGGGGGCAGCCACAGCTTCTCTGGGCAACCTATGCCAGTGTCACCACCTCACAGAAGAGAACTTCTTCCTTATATCTAATCTAAATCTCCCCTCTTTCAGTTTAGAACTGCTATCCCTCGTCCTATCCCCACACCCCCTGATAAAGAGTCCCTCCACACTTTCCTGTAGCCCCTTTCACTCCTGGGAGGCCACTCTAAGGTCTCCCCAGAGCCTTCTCTTCTCCAGCTGAACCCCCCAACTTTCTCAGCCTGTCCTCACAGGGGGGTGCTCCAGCCCCTGATCATCTTTGTAGCCTCCTCTGGCCCCACTCAAGCAAGTCCGTGTCCTTCTGCTGTTGGTGTCCCCAGAGCTGGACACGACACTGCAGGGGGAGTCTCATGAGAGCGGAGTAGAGGGGGAGAATCCCCCCCCTCGCCCTGCTGCCCACACTACTCTGGATGCAGCCCAGGACACGGTTGGCTTTCTGGGCTGTGAGCACACATTGCTGGCACACAGTCAGTTTTCCATCCACTGATACCCCCAAGTCCTTCTCTGCAAGGCTGCTCTCCATCCACTGCTCACCCAGCCTGTGTTTGTGCTTGGGATTGCCCCGACCCATGGGCAGGACCCTGCATTTGGCCTTGTTGAACTCCATGAGATTTGCACAGGGCCACCTCTCCAGCCTGTCCAGGTCCCTCTGGATGGCACATCCCTTCCCTCCAGCATGTCACCGCACCACACAGCTTGGTGTTGGTGTTGTCAGAAAACTTGCTGAGGGTGCCTCGATCCCACTGTCCATGTCACCAACAAAGATGTTAAGCAGCACCAGTCCCAACCCTGACCCCTGAGGACACCACTCATCACTGCTCTCCACTCGGACACTGAGCTGTTGACCACAGCTCTTGGAGTGCGACCATCCAGCCAATTCCTTACCCACCATCAGATCCGTGTCTCTCCAATTTAGAGACAAGGATGTTGTGCGAGACAGTGTCAAATGCTCATGACATCAGTAGCTCATATACTTCTAACCTCACCTTCACTACCAAAACAAGCATATATATATATATATATATATAT